TTCCCTTTCTTCACAATTACTGGCAATTATTAAGGGTTCCTGAAAACTACACACATGCTTCTTTCCTTTCACCTTCTTAAATGTGTTGATCAATCAATATCTATGTGCATACTACCACATCTCCATTTTCTTCTGTAGAGTCCAAAGTCTTCATACAGATTATGGGGGGCCTTTAAATTATACAAAAACATTTCTAGTATAACTTCCAATGATTTCCCTTCACAAAATTTCCACCAGACATGAGATTTCTTGTTTTCATGCTGTTGGTGCCATGCCACCCTCCTCTCCCACATCTAGTTGGTGATATACTTATATCCTTCCAGGCTCAGCTCAAATCCTCCCACCTCCTCTTCTCCCCTCATCACTCCATATGGAAGCAAAGTCTCCTTCCTATGTGCTTTAAGTACCTTATCATTTGTGCCGCCAGCGCTAACATGGCCCTCTTGCCCTCTGGTCTTCTAGTACCTTAACTCCATGCAGGATTTCTCTCCCTTACTAGACAGGAGGGCAAGATTATTAAAATCCCACTCCCCCAGAGCCCAGCACAGGTACCCTGAGCAAATGACAACTCCCATGAATGTTTATTGAAAGCTCAACGCAAAATCTAAAACCAACTGCCTTCAGACTCTATTAATGGGAGCCCACACATTCAATGAAGATGAATCTGTAGATTTTTCTTAAGAAAATAGATTTAAACTTCAAAGTAATCTTATTAACTGCACTTTAAAAATCCATCTAGGAAGATAAACAAATGAGTCAAATCACTTTTTTCGAAAACTCACTTCCATAGAGCCAGCCCAAAATGATTTCAATCCTGCATGTGACAAGGACATCCATCCCAAGAAAGGTGAGTGCTCTGATCTGCTCCAGTTGGGGGGGAGTTTTGGATCAAAACAAAGGCCTCCTCACAACTTCAGATCATGCTCTGAAAGTCAACCAATGAGGGCTCCATTTGGTTTAGTGAAAGAGTTTTCACACATCCAGACCCTAGAGACACATCTTGCGTGCTAACATTGCCACTTAGATTTGGGACCAGAAAATGAGCCCCAAGGCTAAGCTTATGAATAAAAAATTGGGAAGCTACATAGAGCATGGGAGCCAAGAACACTGGGTTCCATGTAAGGCCCTTAAAATATGCCCTTTAAAATAGCACTGTTACAATTTCCTTCCTTTGCCTGGTTTGGAGACTCAGAAATTCACTTACAGTCCTTCAAAGATTTAAATCTATTTGGAAAAATCTTAAAATAGTTAAAGAATTAGCTGACATACTTCAAGGAGGCTAGCCTCCACCGACTCATTGCTCCCACCCCGGCCCCTTGGTTCTCTTCCCCTCTGCCTCCAGATTTTGCTTAACATTTGGTTAACATAAGGTTCACCATACTAGAGGAGCCAGCCCCAGTTCCACATTTGAGTTGACACTCTCTGAGGGCATATGCCAAAGGAGCTCTGCAGTCTTCAGGCATTTTGCTAGTACACACATCTTGGATTCATTTTGCATTTTTTAAAATCCTGCTTCTCATATTTGAAAAAATGTCTACACAATATCATTAAGAACAGTTTTATTTAATATTTTGAGCAAATGTGCAAGGTGGTGGGAGCAATAGGGACAAAGTAAGAGGCTGTGTTCTGAGAAACTGACTTTACAACTAAGCTTTAGTCAGGCAAGTACACATGTACCCATTCAAAACAAGAGAGCATGGTGCTGAGGAAGCAGTGAGGGGCATCAGTTTAAATGTTTTCAGCTCTTTGTAACATAACACTAAACTCGAATCGTCTTAAATACTAAAGTGACATTACTTCATATAACAAGAAGGTGGGGGTTGGTTCATTCAGCAGCTCAGCATCATCAGCTCTACTCATTTGTTATTTGGTCACATCCAGTTGACTTTTGCAGGCTTGTCTCTGCAGGGTTGCAAAATGGCTGCAGCAGCTCCAGCATCAACACTTACACAAAACTGCCTTTGAACATTGTTGCATGAGGATAAGATGCTCTCCCCTTTTGAGGAGGGAGGAGTCCTCTCCCAGAAGCCCTCAACAGACTTCCCATCATAGTTCATTGGCCAAAATTGTGTCACAAGTCAATTCCTAAATCAGCCATCAAGCCTAGAGAAGGAAATCATCGTGACTAATTTAGACCAATCACAATTCACCTCCTGAGGCTTATGACTGTCTGATATGTGAATCAAATCAGGATTTTATTAGCAAAGAAGCCAGAGGGCCAGTAGCTGGTTGTTAAGCAACAATATCTTCCATAAAGAGGTCACATCCTTTAGGCAAATTAGGAATGCAGCTTGAAACGTTTATACTTTAATTTCTGGTAATGGGACTTTTCAGCAGGAAAATAACATGAACAAATACAATTAAGATGTAAGGGACTTCACAGCCTTCTATTCTGAAAATTGCGATTTTTGTTTCTCAACACTTAATGGTGATAAACATTTTCATCAATTTATTGAACACCTATTTTCTGAATGTCTGCTGTTGCAAGTGTGGGGATAACAAGGCTGAACAAACAGCTGGGGTTCCTGCCTTCAGTAGCACTTATATCAGTGAGGAAGGCAAACTGACATGATTTCACACTTGGCTCTGTTAGGAAGAAAAGAAGCAGGGTAATAAAATACTTAGTGAAGAAGTGGAGGTAGGGCTTGTATAAATTGGCTGGTCCAGGGAGATTCTTGAGAAGGTGACAATGAACCAAAGCAGAATAACAAGGAGCCTGCCCCAGGAAGGTATGAAAGTAGAATCACTGAAGCAGAGGGAACAAGTGCAAAGCCCTAAAGAAAAGTAATCATAACAGTGTATGAATGTTCCCTTTTCTCCACATGCTTGCCAACGCTTCTTATTTCTTCCCTTTTTGATAATTGACTTTTTGATAACAGCCATTCTAACAGGCGTGAGAGACTTTGTTTCTTGAAAAATGTTCTAGGCTGGGGCTTTAGTATGCACATTAATCCTCTGGGGTCCTTGCTAAAATGTAGATTATGATTCAGCAGGTCTGGGGGTGGGGAACTAACAAGTTTCCAGGTAATGCCAATGCTTCTGGTCTGAGGACCACACTGAGTAGCAGGATTGTAGCAGAATGTGTCCTTAACTTGCATTTTAAGTTGTATTTCCTACTAGTATCTTATAGCTACCATGTGCACCAGACCAGTGTTAATACTGTAGACACATGTTGCTATTCAACTAGAATAAGCTATTCAGTTCCTTAGTTGCACTCTCCACATTTCAAATGTTCAAGAGCCACATGTGGCTAGTGGCTACCATACTGGACAGCACATGTAGAAAGAACCTCGCCATTACCACAGAAAAGTTTTTTTGGACGGTGCTGCTCCAGACAGAAGGAACTGTTTCTAGTTCTTCAGGCTTGCTGTTACCATGTCCTTCCTCATTCTGGTCTTTTACAGAGTACACGCATGTTGTTCTACCTCCTAAAGTCAAATGCATCTTTTAGGAACTATTGATATTTCAAGCCTACCTCTTCTACGAAACCTTTCCTGAAATGGAAGCTAAGTGTGCTTTCTACTTCCTTTAAATTTGCACATTTGTTTTTTCTCAGCAATATTTCGTACTGTATTTTGCCTGCCTAGAATCCATAGTATCCCAGTATCCAACTCCCTTTCCTCTGGTTGTAGAATCCCATTTTCTATGAGACGGGGGGTGATGAGAGGATTATTTCTCACGCTTTTTGCCCATGGGGTTCAGTTGAACCTAACTCTACCCTTAGCCACCATCATTAGGGTATGAGCAAGATGACGGCCAGTACTGTCAATCCCAGGACATTTGCTGAAAATGTGGATGAAGGTGCTCTTACCAATGGGGTCACTAAGCCGGCTGGGATGCCAAGTCTGAGTCTGCTGGTAGCCATCTTGCCATCAAATGTGCAGTCCTTGCCTGAGAAGAATAACTCAGAGGAAAGCAAAACATGAGAAAAAAAACATATCCTGGATGACATCACCTTATAGTTCGCTACAGTTGTATTTGAAGTGCTGTCTACCCTTGAACCTTAGGTACTGGGGACAATAAATCACCTGTTTTTGCTTAAGCCAGTGTACATTGAAGGAGGCTCGTCCATTACCTCTCTTCAGGCATTCTCTATATAGGCTATACGGCAGCATATGTCATAGGGTCCTCCTCCCACTCCCCTTTGGGCCACTACTTCAACCATTCACAGCCACAATCACCCTTAGTTGGCTTCACATCGCACCTTTGTAGGAGGAATGTGAACATATGCCCACCTGAACAAAATTTTTCTTTACCAGTTTTAACATTCAAATGATTTTGACATGCTGACAATCAAATATGCAGCCAAAAATAATTTTCACTATCTGATGATGCAATTAGTATTTTTATTAATATTTCTCTAGGGTTTTATAGCTCAGTATATACATATTACAAATTGATTAATCTCTTTACTTTTTAAGTCATTCAAAACAAGTCCAAACTTCCTAGCCAGCATGTATCGTTTGCCTGGGTAACCCATATGTACCTCAGGGATATTTATCCCTCCCCCTCCCCCACCTCCTGGCTTTGAAGGAATTCCCCCCAAACCACTAAGTTGTGTGCTGTTCTGGGCCAGCAGGCTGGCAGAGTGTCTCCAGATTCCACTCTTCCAACGCACCTTACCTTCCGGATCAGCTCACATGGACCTACTTCATTTCACATCTTGGCTTACTCTCATCTTATCCTGGAATACAATGGAATGTGACCACAATCTCGCCCTGCTCATTGGTTCAGAAGGTCCCACAGGCACGGCGTTCCTGGGAAGGTTCCTGGACTCCAACCTCGAAGCTGACCCCAAACCCAGACGTGAAACTCACTATCACCCCTGCCTGCTACTTGCTTGCTAAAACTGTCTTTTCTAACTAGAATGGACTGAAGAAGGAGCGATTCATTCATAATGGAAGAAAGAACAAGCCCTCACACCTCCACCCTACCCCTCAAAATGTTTTAATATATCTTGTTTACAAAATAGGACTTAAGAACTACTCTAGAGGACCATGTACATGATAATATTTATCTTTTATTAGATATATTATATATTCCCAAAAAGATATAAAATCTTCCAAGAGAAAATATCAAAACCTATTGATTTCAAGGTAAGCAACATAATCAAAATGAAAGCAAAGAATTTCTTCCAGAAAGAGGAATGTGAAAACATTTCAGCACAAATACAACAAAGACATGGGAAGGTAATTACAATGTTTTACATTTTACAGCATTTTGTTTTAATCAGTATTTGTAGAAAACAAGGATGCTGAGTTCTCAAACACTGTAGTTATAAGCACAAATTAAATTTTCAGAAAAAAATAAGAGAAAGTAATGAACTACTGAACATCTGCAATAATAAATGTAATAAAACATAAGCAAACAAATATGCCACTGAGATCACAACTGAAGTGTATGATTTTTATCGTGTGCCGGGGTCACTAAACTATTTAATCAGTTCTTGACCACAACCCAAAGCAAAAGCATCCTCTCTTCATTTCCCTGATGATTTATTCTAAAAATAAAAAGCAGAAACTTGCTGGTAAAAGAGAATTTCTGCTTTATCTGTGAGCAGCTGGTGGCAACACACACTGAATAAGACCCCAACCAAACACGGGACAGATCCATCTCAAACAACCGGGAGTGGCAAAACCACTATTATTGCATCAAGATTTTTTTATTTCAATTGATCAGAAATTCCAGAACAATTAAGCACACCCACTTAAACCACAGAACACAGTGAACTCCTATAGGAAGTTTCTACATTTAAGACGCAACAAAAATACTGATCTCATTCCTGGGATTTGCTTCTGGTAATCCTAACATCTGTAGATGTCCACAAAAAGGAAGCTTTTTTTTTTTTAAGTTGTTTATCCCCCCAAAATGAGGAAGGAAACTTACAGTACATGTTTATTGCATGAAATTACTCCCTTGTAGTATCTCGATCAACACTAGTATTGTTTCCTTAATAATTAAAGCAGAAAGAAGTTTATGAATTTAACATAACAATAATCTTAGGAGCTGCATCCTGACTGAAAATCCAGATGATAATCAGACTACATGATAACATAGAAATTGTGTTTTATTTCTGTATGAAGATGTTGGAATGGCAGGAGGTATAATGGAAGTTTAAAGTCAGATAATACTAAATCTATTAGTTAACACAAAGAGAATTTTCAGAAGTGCATATAGTCAAGAATCCTTTCTATGCTAAAACTGAATTTCTAAATGTTGCTAATGTTGCTTTTAATTTAATGTCAAGTTCACGATGATCCCAAATAAATTTTAACAAGAGTACTGTAATGGCACATAGGTTTAGAGCTTCACTTTGAGGTTAGCACGTACAAAAGTCTGGAATTCACTGAACAAACATACTCTTTAATAAGATAAATTATGATGAGCTACATGTAAGTGGGTTTAAAACAGGGTCTATTTTAAAGCATTCTCTCTTCAAAATGGTGAACTCCTGTGAAATGGAAACAGCATGTGGATTCTGCATGTTACAAAATCCTTGCTTCACGTTGCAGTCTCCTTGGCAGCAGCATATTTTACTTAACAATATTTTTCTTCCTTCTTTTGTTTTCTGACATCTCAGTACATTCAAATAGTCAAAATGTTTAAAGTAACATCACCACAAATTTAATGAAACAGATCAGAACGTGGCCAGCATTGTCAGGCAAAAATTATACAATTTATGTGTCATAGAAAGTACCCACCCCTCCACCTCCCCCCAGCCTCTTCCCTTCCCCCAACCATAATATGGACACCAAAAGATTTAACAAGACTTATAAAAAAATAAGGCACATTTATTCTGATACGATAATTTTAAAATAGAAAACCCCTTCTCAGAACATCTGTATTCAAATGAGCTGCGTAAAAAGACACCTTGTGGTACCTAAAACAGGTCATGGTACCTATGGAATTGCTTCTTCTATTTTAGTGACAATGAAATAAATTGCACCTATCCCACACTGTCAAGTAATGAAAATATGCCTCTTTGTCTACTACTGAATGATTCAAAATCTGATATTTCTGGAAATACTTACAAAGGGTAGGAGGGGAGGGGTCAAGTGGTACAAGTGGTAGAAAAACACATAGTCAACTATGTATAAGGGTTGACGGATTGCACTTTTCCACATATTTCAACACATAAAATTTTTCTAACATGTATGAATGATTGCAACCATTTTGGCCATTAGCTATTACCCACCAGCTTTTTATTCCATTTTGGTAAAAATGGGTATTTTTGTAAGACTAACAAAGGGTCAGCAACATGAATACTTACAACAATCTCTTCACAACCCCCAACACAGATATAATTAGTTAACATTTAACCTGAGATACAATCTGTTGAGAGGTTGTCTTTAGACATTTCTTTGTTTGTTGCATCAATTCATACTGATGATGGTAGTTCATGGAAGGAACTTAAAAAAAAAAAAAGTTTATAGCATGGCTTTTTTTTTTTTCCCTCTCTTACTGTACTGGTTTAAAAAAAAAAAAAAATCACAGATTTCATGTCCTCACAGTAGCCAGAAGCTAAAATAATGTGCTTCTTTATTGCACGTCAAACCAAGAAGTGTATAAAAGCCAATGCTTCCCAATCCAAATCTGAAAGCCAGGTTCACCTCAACTGGATTCGGAATGTGCTGATTTCCATGGGACTCAAGTTGATCTCACTTATATTTCGGGCGTCTGGAGGTGAATGCATCAAGGATAATGACGAAGGTATGAGACTTACAACAGTAAACTTGTTAAAAAGTTTCTGTACCAATATCTAAAAAGTAAATGATAAAAAAATTGCACGTTTAGAACAACTTTGAAGAAAGATTAGTAGCGCATCTATATATTCAGTGGGAGAAAAAGTGAAAAGTATGTTTGAAGTTCCCTTTTAATGAAAAATAAGGGGAAGGGGAGGGAGATTAAATCCACCTCTACATACTTGAACGTGGAGACTAACCCTGGAGGGAGACACAGGAAACTGTAACGGGAGGATGATGGGCTCCGGATTCCTTTTCTGTTGCTTGAGAACACATCAGGTGCAGGGGCCATTTTTTCAATAAAAGAAAGGACATCTATAGGCCAAGAAGCTTTAAACACATCTATATCCTCTTTCAGTCAATACTTACCCCTAACAGTGGTGCTCATCTACCATATTCCCTGTGCCCAAAGAGCCAGGAGATAGGACACAGGTTGCCACAAGGAAGGCCCATCATGTCAGTGAGTCCCATTTATAGGGTGGGGAGGTTGTTTAGAAAATACTGTCCTCACTTCTAGCAGGTTATTCTAATATGTCTCTCCGGATCGTATAACCCCCTAAAGACTCAATGCCTTAATGTTTGAGTACAAATGTTCACAAGTATTCTCAGATCATCACTAATAAGGAGAGTGCAAATGTAATGAAACAAAGATATCAGTGCTTTCTTAGCACCAAACACATACAGGGTGAGGCAACAGAAATGCAGAAGCTTATCTATCTAAGCAGATTTAGGCCCCCCTACTATATTTTTTTTTTCTTTTTGGGTCCTATGCACATACTAATTTTGTAGGGCTGGAACTGAATCACTTGAGTCTGGTCTACACTATGTCTATTAGGTTTTGGAGAAGAGCTGGGTCCCCTGAGCTGACTTGGTGGAGGAGACCCACCAGTGTGCTAGAATCAGCCCAAGCATCTTCTTGTAGTTACAGCTAGCTCAGAGCCACAGGCATAAGATTGGAGGTTCATTTGCTTCCAAGGAAAGTTCTCTGATGAGAACTGTCAGCAAGACCGACTTGAAGTCAGAAATGCGCAGCCACCAAGCAGTGGTCAGCCTGAGGATCTGTTTGGTCTGCAGAGTGTGGACTCATATGCAAATCTTGCTTAATCAGATCTAGCCCTGCATCTTTCCCCTGGGGAAACTGACTGGAGCTAAGTACAGCTGCCCTGGGGTCTTCGGTTGAGTTATCCCACTGGCCACAGTCTCATTGCTCCCTCTCTTCCCATACTGCAAGCCAGCACCCCACTTTAGTTACTGTAAAAGTTGTCTTGGCCCCTGTAGGACTTGGGTTTGCCACCCCTGAACTGGATCGTACATGAGCATGTCCGAGAGAGGTGGAAATGAGGGGGTGGGCAGGAAGAAGGTGCTATGCAGGTTGGAAATGGAAGACCTAAGAATCGATGAGGACACTGCCTTCAAACGTGTACATGTTTGCCTATGCATTTTAATGGTGACAAGAAGAGACTGAACGTTAAGAAAGGGCTTTCTTAAGATGGGGAAACTTGAACTAATTTGAAGTTGAGGGGAATGAGTCAGCGAAGAGGCAATGAAACATCTCATTGTCAAGATTATCTGCAGAAAGTAAGGATTTCAAAGCACACTAACTCAACAAGCAAAAATAAGCTTTCAGCTCACCTTTCCCTGGGTAGTGGAACAAAGCAGCCCCGTGTCTCTGCTAGAGAAGCAGCAATCAAACCCCTTCCTGTGGAGGATCAAGGCTGCCTCATTGGAATGCTTGCCATCCACCTGCAAATGAGCAGAGCGCCAACACGCCACGGTGACATGAAGGCAAATACTGACACTACTGCATACCCTTGACGTCAGTGTCCCCAAACCACAAATGCTCATTTTATTGAAAAGTGAATCCAGGCAAATCCATTTCCATTCAGGTTCCATGCTCACTGTGCCCACCCACCCCCTGCTACACTCCCTCCCACAAGGAGTCAGGTGATATTATGTTCTAAGAATCCCTGTTAAGTCACTCAAGCCTTGGTTTCCTCCATAGTTCCTGAGGACGTGGGTTATCTTTCATCCACATATTATATATCGTTTTATCAAAGTTTCTTCAAATAAAGCATTTTATTTTATTTTTAATAAATCCATCAACTGAATAAAGTATACCTGAATTTAGTCCTTATCTTGTCATTGAATGATATATTATCCATCTTAAAACTGAAACATGCTTCTTCATTGAATACTAATTTTTGCTAATTGCATTAACATTTTTAATCTTTAATGTACTGGTTCATTATTTTTATATAAGAGGCATTTAAATTGAATTAGTTATGCTTATCACTTGCTAAGCCAACCACATTTATTAGATTGATATATCATTTAACTTCACATTACAGAAGCTATTCTTCTTGTGCAGGCAAAAAGGAAAATACTAAACATGACAAGTCAGCTACAGGGATCAGTATACAGTTTCTTGCAATGAAGTTTCTTGTACCCATTTAAGTAGCAATGTCACAAATGCTTCAAGTCCTTGAATATTTAAAGTTACAACTATTTAATAAATTTTATGTTTCTAAACTGGGAAAATGTTTATGATAAATAAACTGAATTAAAAATCCTTGGAAAAGTTAAGAAGTGCATGTTTATTCCAAGGAGAGTCATGTGCTGCTTGGCACTGACACTGTGACGAAATTGGTCCCTTTTTCTTTTTTGTGGCCACAGATATGAAATATGCCCATGTTCTTGATCATCCTTACTAGGGCATAAAATTTTTAATGTGCTACAGAGACATCTTTTCTGAACTGCTGCCAGCATTCCCATCACTGATTTGATTTTAATGTGACTGAACAACTTAAAGCTGTCCTCACCTCACATTCTTGGCTGGAATAACCTGTTTTATGACATTTTACACTGGTATTTTGCAGTGGTACTGCTGAAATTTTGTTTGAAGGGAGAGAAAAAAGTCATTTAAGGGATTCTGTGAGTCATCACAGGACCACATGATACACACAGTAGGTTGAAATCACATGACAGAGATTTCTAATGAAATTTCAAACAATTTCACAGTCCCAAAATGGCACTAAAAGAGCACATAAGAAAACCCTTTATTTATTATATACAGAAGGATAATAGTTGTGCCAATTGTGAAACCTTGGAATAGTCCTTTATTCTTCCTAATTGTCAGTTTCCTTGTCTGTAAAATGGAGCTAATGCATGTCTACCTCCTTCATGGAGTCATGGTGCGGGTTAACTCATTGAAAATACTATGTAAGGTAGCCCAGCTTATAGGACAGAATGTGCTAGTTAAGAAGCTGTAGAAATGAATGGTTCAGAATCTGAGCTGGGAGTCAGACAGCCTAAGATCTGTATCTTAGTTCTGCAATTTACTAGCTGCTGATTTCAGCAAAACAGTTTTTCCTTTACCATAAAAAAAAAAAAGAGAGAGAGAGAGATGAAATGAAATGAAATAGCGTAACAAGGACTTAGCCTAGGGTTTGGAGCAGAGGAAGCCCTCAGTATATTGTTATTGCTTCTATCAACATCATCCATCAAATAAACAGTGATTATTTTCATAGTAGTTACAAATTAAACAATATTCTTATCTAACTTCTCATTCACAAATTTCTTTTATTGACATCATAACTTTGTAGCTAAGGAATCAGGGAAGCTCCAAATTATATGTCCACAATTATACATCAAAATCATAACAGAACCCTGATTCAAATTCACAAATCAGATGCCCTCTTAATTAGACTCCAAAAGCACTTATCACTATTAACCTAAAGCATCTGGCCATCTTAACTCACTAGACCATCCTTAAAGAAACACTGATAAGCAGGCATTGCTAAAATTCCTGCAACACATTTGTTCTTGAATAATGAATATGTAAGGCCTTTAGCAGACTGAAGGTGACAAAAAATTGGGAAGGGAAACACTTTTGGAATTCTGCCACTGAATTCAATAAGAGATTTAAACATACAATACAAAAGTAGAGATTAAAGTCATAAAAATTAATTTTCACCAATGGGAAAAAGTTTTACTTTCTCTGAAAACCAAAACTGTATCACTATTCATAAGGACTAAAACACCAAATGAAATGGCATTCATCTTGTGTAAGTTTTAAAAATCAAGTATTCATGAAAGTATCAGTTTTCAAGCAAAAATACCTGAGGCAAAGCAGCAGTTTTTCAGTTTCAAAGTCTGTCTAGACATTTTATTTCCAAGAAAACTGTTTTTCAAAGTAGGGAAACTGTGAATTTAACTTGAATATGTGTACAGGAAAACAGATACCTTCAAGTAGTCACACTATATACTCTAGGAGAGTAAACAAATTTTGAAAGACCTGTTTTTATATTCATTAACACATTAGTAGCATCCAGACCTCAGAAAAGAAGGGGAGGGTGTGGGGAAGAAAACTTACAAATTTTGAAATTGCACCAAGCACTGTGTTAGGTGAGCTTCAAATGAAGTGTCTTCGTAAAACAGTTCAGATCACCATTGAGACTGAACCCCTGCTTGGATGTTCCCAAGTTGCACCAGGAAAATCCACTGCAGAACTTATTTCAGGGGATAAACCAACATCTAGCTCCCAGCCTAAGGGGGGGGCCTATGAAATGTCTCCAGCAACTGGGGGAACTAGGGGGGAAGGTGATCTGGCTTACCAAATGAAGCCATCAGGCTCAGAGAAAGCTAGACTGGAGGCAAGGTTTGGTTCCACCACGAATCAGTTAAGTGACTGAGTCTATCCTCTGAAAATTCAGGGAACTAGGTTAGACTCGTGACGAACCCCTTTGAGGATCCACCACAGGGAGGACAACAACAGTAACTGCAGCTAACACTTATTGAGCACCTGCTGTGTGCCAGTCATGTACAGAATGCTTTTCATGGATTAACTCATTTCATCTTGCAACAACCTTTGAAGTAGCTGAGGTGATATACAAGGTGTATTGCTCTCTTTAAAGGTAAAGAAACACCCCTATCACAAAACATTCCCTCTCATACTCAAAGTGCAATTATCACTAATGACTCTACAACGGCCCTTCATGACCATTCCCCATCAATGGCTGGTGAATACTTCTACGGTGTCCCATCATTACTGAGTAGACAAGAAGAAAACAGGCAGTGTGTTCCCTAACATTTTTAGCACTAGTGCTCCCCTCGTCTTCCCAGGCAGTATAAGGTTCTGAGTAGGGAGATCTGGAGTCAGGCTCGCTGCGGTGTGGCTCCCAGCACCGCCGCTTACTGGCTGTGTGACCTGGAAAGTTACCCCAGCCCTAGGTCAGTCAGTTTTCTCTTCCACACGATGGGGCCCAAATAGTGCCTACTTCCACAGTGTTGTCGTGAGAGCTAAATAAGGCTCACGTAAAGCACTCAGGGTAATACCTGGCATGGAGACACTTCTAGGTACATTGTTTTGGAAAATCTGAGGAATCAGTAATAAACTATATAAGGAATACACATCACAGTGACATCAAGATTTACTTTGGCAATACACTTCAACCTTCCCCAATTTATAAAAAAAACAGTGCCAAGATTTTCACTTCATTATTAGTAACAATCACAACTGCTTATGACTGAATGATCACAGTTGAGAACCTTTATTTGTCAAGCACTTAGTGCTTACTACATGCCAGCTGCTGCTCTAAATGCTTTACAAACATCAACTCATTTAATCCTCTCAGAACATCTCTAAGGTGGGTATTATTACCATTGCCTTGTTACTCATAAGGAAACTGGGACTCAGAGAATTAAGAGATTTGCTCTAAGACACCCAGCCAGCAAGTACGGGGAATGCACTCAAACCTAGGTGGTCTGACTCCCAAGTCTGTACTTTCACAACTACATTCTCCTGCCTTTGCTCTGTGGATCCGTGCTCAGAGATACTTAGCTTGGAGGGCAAAGAGGAGGATTGCTTTTGACTTAATATAATGAAAGGCTATCAACTAAAGGAGATCCCCCCCTCTGATCCGAGGCTGGAAAAAGGGAGTATTCATTAATGGTTCCAATAGAGCTAAAACCATGATTTACCAAAACATATTCAGAAAGAAACGTTTAGAAACTATCATTTCTATCCATCTACAACCCTCCCACCTATCCACTCATCCCATTTTGAAACAGGATTTAAAGTCACTCTGAAAATTACACACACATCTGACAGTCTCTTCTAAGAAAAGGAAGAGCCAAATGTTCCTCTCCTGAGGTGGATGAGAACTCTGCAAAACGTGAGAGCTGAGCTACTCGCATCTCACACCAAAAGAAGCTGGATTTGCTCCTTACAAAAGTGAGGGTCACAAATCTGTAACGCCTGGAAGCTGTGGTAAACAGCATACGTACACACGTTGTTTCTGAGGAAGAGAGGGGTTGTAACTTTGACCAGATTCTCCAAGAAGAATGTGACCCCACCCTTCTCAGAGGATGTGTAAGTTGTACACGGATAAAGGCATAGCTAAACACCTGGTGGGAAAATTTCTCCAACTCGCCCAGATTCTTTGAAAATGCCAAACAACACTCATATTTCAGTGCATTCTGGCAGCTGGGAAGGTTAGAAAATCTCACACTGTGTTATAAGTCCTGAGACAGGAAATAACCAGTAGAAATTCATTTTCCAGGGCACTCGTTAAAATGTCAATAACAGTTATCCTGTTTTAATCAACAAGATAGCATGACAGAAAGAAAGGGGAAGGTGAATAGCTGTTCTCAGATATGTACAAAAAAGGACATTTTTTCCCACAATTTTCACCTTTCGAGCAGCTAGGGAGATCAATAAAGCACCAATCAATTCTTATAAGAAGGGCAAAATAAAGTAAAACCTTAAAATGCCTCTTACAAGAAAAGGAGGGGGTGGTATAAACAAGTTGAGAGAGAAAATCTTATTCAGTAAGTGGTGCTGATGTTGAAATGACTGGTTAACTATTTGTAAGAAACAGTTAAGCACAAATCAAAATAAATTCCATACAGAGTGAAGAGTTAAATGTAATACATAGCTATAGATAGAGAGTATAGATATAAAGATATATATCTAAAATTAAATAAAATAAAAATATGTCTAAACATAAAAGCAGTGGAAACTGCAAAAAAAGTTGAAACAGATTATCACTGTTCAAAACATCAAGGCAGAATGGCTCTATGAAGCCTAGCTGAACAGCTTAAGCAAGTTCCTCCTCATCTCTGGAATGTCAGCATTCCAGGCTGAACCTTTCACTGTAGCCTGACCCATGATCCGTCCTCCCATGAGATTCTCCCAGCATCCTCTCTACCAAGCCTCTCTTCTCCCTAAATCATTACCCTTTCCCAATGACATGGTTTTCCCGTTTAGTGCACTTGAGTGGTACTCTTATTCCCCAGTTTTCAAATCTTTATAGAAGCTTCTTTTTGTATCTCAAACTGTTGATAGTGTAAGAAAAGAGGGTGATAAAGAGAAGAGAGTTGGAGGCCAGGCATATAGGATGAGAAGGCTAACATTTAAATTCCTAGACAGGGGCTGGAGCATGCTGGGCCATACAGCTATGAGGCAGGGTTTTAAGAGATGTTTGTTTCCCTCTTCATCTGACTACAAATACATGACATATAATTAAGTTTTTTCCAAAAAAAATTATAAACTAGAAAAGCAAGAGATGCCTATGTAAAAATAAACTCATCTACCAATATAGAACAATTTCTGAAAAACTGGACTTTTTTTTCTTGAGAAACTGGACTTTGAGAACAGATTTAGTAAGTCTTAAAAGGTCAAATACCACCCTCTGAGGCTATGTTCAGCACCCAGGTTCAGAAGACCTGGATGTGGCTCCTGATTCTGCCATTTACCGCTGGGTAGTTTAATTTTAATCATTTAATTTCTCTAACCCTTACTTTCCTAATTTAGCCAATGGTGATAACTCAGCAATTTCTAGCATCATGAGGAGAGTTATTAAAAATTACTGATTCCTAAGCTCTCACACCAGACCTACAGAATCAGAATCTCAGAGATGGGGGAATTTGTAAAAGTCTCTTCTTGTAAAAATCTCCTCAGAGTGATCTGGACACAGTGACTCGGAGAATGATAGCTCGAAATGCTGAACCAGCTCAGTGGTTAGCAAACCTCCAGCCCCCACCTTCCTTCTCTCACTATTGCTTGAGCCCATAACTCCTTTCTCCTCAAGGAGTGAGGGAGACTGAGGCTTAGAACCGAGCAACCTTCAGACAGCAGCCTGGGCATGGGCAAGCAGAGGACGTGTCCTCTGTTACACAGCTGATGGGGGAGGTCAGAAGGGAAGACAGATGTGCCCTTATCATGTCAAGGGGGTCCTCAGACACTTTTCTCATGGAAATACTGTGAGGTGATGGTTAGGAAAATGCTTACTTAGATATAGGCCAATGGAGACCTCTAGTCTTGCTTGGAAGCAGCCAACACCTCTGTTTACATAATTTCAATGGGAAAAATGCACTGCAGTCTCTGAACAACTCATTATTGTATGCTGGAAGCTGCCAGCACACAAAAAAAACAAGAGCACAATCCAAAATGATTAGCTCTGGCTTCTGGATTGAGTTATTTTTGTCTTTCTTTTAGTATAATCATGAAATTACACTTGACACCTTTTAAGTATCGAGCTTTCTTTGAATGAATACCTACATTAGCTTCCTTCAATGATTACTTTCCTATTATCAGAGGTTAGGGGACAGAGAGCAATTCTTTAAAGTATCCCTTCGGATTACTGGTAAGTTTTTTCTTTTCCCCCTGCAATTTTATTATTTATTTATTTTTTACATCTTTACTGGAGTATAATTGTACTGGTAAGTTTTAGAACAACTGTTAGAAATACGTGCTAAGAGTCAAAGACTAACATAGAACTGGCACCAATTTATATGATAATGCAAAAAAGCCCCAAATATTTAGTTCTGATCACGTGTTAGGCATTAACCTATGCCTGTGGTTAGGCATTTCAGTCTTTATTCTTCCTGGTCAAATTGTTAAATTGCTTTTATTCCCTCTGCTAAACCTCCAGTTTGCACCTGCGTTGGCATGTACTGTAAGCATCATCAGGATAACAATGTTTGTCTACAAAGCACTTCTGTTTCAAAGGGCTCTCACAGCACTATTTCATTTGTTTTTCATACTAGACCTGAAACAGGCATATCTGATATCAGGCCCATTTTATAACTGGTAGCTGAGTCAGCAGTCACGCAGCCAGCAGGGAGTGAAGGTGGTTCACCTTCCAAAGGTGAGAAGGGCAATGGGAAGCCAGGTGGCTACAGCCAGCGAGGCCAGGCTGCAGAGGGACTGAATGCCCAAGGGTCTAAATCAACTTTGTAGGCAATGGGATTTTTAATCCCGAAAGTGATTAGATTTGTATTACAGGAAGCTAGCCAACAGCAGGAAGAATGAAAGGAACAGGTAATCATAAAAAAGAGGTGATCTGGAAAACAAGCGAAAACCTTGGAGGGTAAAACCCTACACTCACCGATTCTGGAGTCAGCTGGTGCTGCTTCCAGAAAATAATCATGGGAAAGAGTCATCTAAAAGTGAGGCAAAAACTTCTCCATGGCCGCCATGGACCCCAGAAGCCCCTGGATCCCTCAGCTCGCTAATGTCCTCTACCATCCATGCCCCGAGGTAGCAGCCTGAGGCTCAGAGTCTGGTGTCTCCACCCTATCCTTTCATTCTCTTTAGCCCATGAATAAATGACAGGTTACCTCAGGGAGGCTGCCCATCTCTAGTGCATTCTTTCCCTGAGTCAAAAAGTAGACCCACAAAAGACCATAGTAGAATCCTAGAGAGATCCACTTGTCCAACAAATTGTTACCGAGCCCCTACTAGGTGCAGGCTCTGTTCTCGGCAGGGGGATACAGCAAGGAATCAAAGAACAGCCCAGGTTTCATGGCTCTTCCATTCTGACCAGCATCTCCTGCCTTCAGGCCTTCCACTTGCTCCTAACTCTTCCCGACCGCTCTACCCTCAGAAATCTGCGTGAGTTTCTTATTCCCTGACCTCCTTTGGATTTTTACTCCATTATCACCTTTTCTGCAAGGCCTTCTCCAACCACGCTATTCAAATCACCTTCTAAAACTGCCCTTCCTTCCTTCTTCCCCTTCATTATAACACTTATCATCATCTAACATATATTTCTCTTATTTTTTCATCTTTAATTATTTTTCTCCTCTCACTAGAATCAGCTTCAGAAAGGCAAGGGCTCTTGTCTGTTTAGTCCATGACTATACCCCAGTGCCTTTAGCAATAACTGGCATGTAGCAGGCATGAAATAAATCCTGAAGTTCACTCACGTGATCAAACAAGCCCTTTTGACACAGAGATACACACATAGGCCTCTAACGTTCACTTGCATTCATTATTATTAGACACATGTATTTTCCTACATAGTCAGGCGTAAGTTCCCTATCTTGGACATATAGTTTTAAAGCCCTAAATGTCCAAATTTGTAGGCATTGATCCTTCCTTTGTTTGGTTCTCTTCAGTTCTTTGTTCTCGAGCTAAACATTTTTTTCCTCTTACACTCTCTTCCAACATGAACACTCTTCTTTTCACACTCAGGCCATTTATTATAAGACATTTCCTACAGAATCCATAATCACTCACTATTTCCGGCTAAGTGGATGTCAATCCACAAGATGAAACAGCTTTACAAAACATAAAAATGATGTCAAACCTCTCATCTTTTCTTCTTTTCAAATGCAGTCTCTGACTTTAAAAGTAGGCATATAGGTAAACTCAAGCAATCAAGCTGTGTTAAAATTCCATCCCTAATAAAATCTTCCCTTGTTTCTTCCTCTGATGTGTTTTTATATCTCACCTACATAGTTGGATTCTCAATGCAAAGATTTGGGTTTTTTTAGGATTTTTTTTGCATTTTTAGGAGAAAAGATATGAATGTACAAAGTCTCTGGTACAGAAATAATTACACACTATACCTTCTGTTTCTCTAACTCCTGAGAAACACTGACTAATAAGGAGAAACAAATGGAAAATGCCAGTAGGGCTGATCTTAAGGCCTGGTTCTCCCACCTACTAATTATGTGACCTCAGGCCAGTCTCAGCTTCCTTATCTGTAAAAAGAAGCTGATATTCCCTGACCTGCTCACCACACAGAACTTTTCTGAGAATAAAATAAATCAGTCTAAGGAAACACTCTAAACTACAGAGCAACAGTCAAATGAAAGGTACAATGATGTTGCCTAAAGGTGAAGTCCTCTTAATCATTCTTTGAAGCAGAGTAAAATCTACAGTTTTATTCCTTCCACCCCCTTACACCAAGTATACTACAAAAAGTAATTTTTTATAGATATGTTTTGGGATATACCTTTGATTGTATCGTCCTCAGATTAACCAGATGAATGTCACAAGGGAAAGATGACATTAATGGAGAGAATTCACCGAGCAGCTGAAGGGTGGGCACAGGGACCTTTTCTGTCATTGGAAAGATAGGATGATTCAGGAAAGAAGAAGTTATGTGGCTAAGGAGGGAAGGATAACTGACCGACTTCTTTTCTTCTTCCTATCAAGAAAAAACAAAAATGCTTAAGAGTTATATATTTGCAGTTCTTACAGTATTAATTGAATTATCAGACAGGGCTTAAACAGGAAAAAAATATACAAATATATTAATACTTTGATTTCATTATATTTTATAAATAAGTCTTAGACAATGCACAGCAGATTACCAAGTTCAGTTCTAAGAAAACAGTGTCCACCTAACTCCCATGTTGAGAAATATCTCTTTTCCATTGCTTTAAAACTAAAAATCCTGACAACATTCTCAACAAACATTCTAGGACAAGGTATAACTTTTTATGAAAATTCTTTCTCAACCTACCACAAAACTCTTAAAGTAGATGGGTTGGGATGTTCATATATCTTATACATCGTCAAATGCTATCTCTTCTCCCTCAGGTTTTACCCATCATATTCTTATGGTTTCATTTATACACTTAACTAGACTGTAAAGTTATGTATTGATCCAAAGTTATGTTTTATAAATGTTACCCAATGATAGGATTTTTTTTAAAAACTCAGAAATAAATATTTAAAATAACACAGGTAGCATAACTAGATCATCTGTCTTTTTTAAATTTGGTAAAATCATTGTCAGTTGCTTCACTTTATTCCAAAAATAGGAACTACTATATGTGTTATAGAATAGTTATCACACATTTACATGGTACACAATTTATTCAGTATAATTTTTAAATACTTTAGTCTTTGCTATGGTGTATGCTTAGAGCCAAGTATTTCAGCATGTTCAAACATTAAGTAAATCTACCAGAACTAGGGATATACATACGGTAGATGACACACACAATTAATTAAATCAATGACTAAGTAGAACCTTAACCAATAATGCCTAAGGTGTAAAAGCAGACACAGAAAAGCACTAAGAAGAAAACATAATTTATGTAGAAAGGTCTTTTGATCACCAGCAACATTTATAGAAAATTTAATTTTATATCTTATTTTTCGAAATGACTACTTCACTGATATCTTCTGATTTTGCATATTTTTAATAGAGGGCTCAAATAAAAGGTTTGGCTACTTATCTGTGTGAAAAGATAAGATTTACAGAAGATACAGAGCTTAAAATTCAGAATGTCAGATTAGCATTGAACAGAGGGTGGTAGCAAAGAGTGAGGAGCATCTTGCCAGCAGCAAACTGTAGATACCATTACAATTCAGACTATGAAGAGAGAAAAGAAATTTTTTTCAAGGCAACAGAGGGACACTACAATATTAAGATACTGACAAAAAATATTAGGTGTAAAAAGAGTTGTTAAAAATTTTTATCCATTCCACATTCCTTTTTTTAAGGAAAGATTAAATAAAGCATATAAAATAATATTCTTCAGCAATATTGAAATTTAATGCAGCTTGTAGAATAACATGAAGAGAGAGGGAACAGTTTCAACAAGAAGCTTTAAATGTACTCAAATATCAAAGGACTTCACAATCTAGGTCAGGGTTGCTGACAAAATCACTTTTGAGTAATAAAAGATAAAAGCTTTTTAAGGCAGGAAAACACCTGCCTTATCAGATTCCAGAGGCATTAAGTCCATTCTAGGTCAAGAAACATTCAGAAAAAGCTTTCTGGCTTTGTCTTATGCTCTTGGAGGAATCCTTGGACGCTTCAGTGAGTACGAAGGGTACTTCTTGATAGATTATCTATACCTTAGTAGCAGTGATGTGCATATTTACTATTCCTCCAAACCCAAATCAGTTCTGACCTTCAGTGCTTCCCCCACATTGACCATACATCAGAATCGCTTGGGGAACTTTTAGAAAACATAGGTCCCTGGACCTGAACCCAAATCTACTGAATCAGAATCTCCTGGGGTGGGACTCTCGGAAGGTAAAGTTAAAAGCCCCCCAGATGACTGTCACATAGTCAGTCCCACACCGCTCTGCTGACCTGTGCTAGGAACTGCCACCCCAGACATCCTCCCAACCTTTTAGAAGAAACAAAGCTCCCTTTGGAATCAAAAGTATAAGCCTCATCCTTTAACTTGTTTGGGATTAAAAAAACCAATATGCAGACTCGAAAACATGTTAATGAAAAGTCTTGTCAAATGATACAATGCCATGAATGTAAGCACTTTTAGCATTCAAGAACTGTGCTATTTATTGTCTCCTAAGCAAGATAAAGAAGAGAAGTTTATATAAGAGTTGTGGTTTGGTGTCAGAAGAGCTCCTTGAACAAGTAACACTGCTGGACGCTGACCAAGTTGGGTGTGGCAAAGTCTCAGGGACAGCGCCATCATTCACACACTTTCTGAACATATTTATAGCAGTAAGGGGCTAGTAAGATATTTAACTGTGGAGCTATCACCAATCTTTTAACCATAACCCTGATGATAAACCCAAAGCTTATAAAATATATTTACTATAGGAAATTTTACATGTTCGTTTAAGCTATAAATGAATTTCCCAGCCTTATAGTAACTAATATACTACTCTAAACATTATTTGGTTTCTTGTAGGTTGGAAGGTTTCAGACTGTACAGGTCTGGTTTTCTCCCTGCATCCTGTTCAACATTAAAAAGAGTTTCTAGCACATTCTGATCCAAACCACATCAAGTTGCGATCTTCTATATTGGGTTTCAGCCCTTATTTCATAAGTCAGAACTTCTTGCCAGGCTCCTTCGTGCCCTTCATTAAGCCCAGATGAGTCCTCTGATTCCTAAACATCACAGGTTTCCATTTTGTCTACATCAAAACCTGCTAAATTATTAAGAAAACGATCGTTTTTTTAGTCACCTTTGTTTATTCAGAATGACCTGACACACGGTAAGAACTTGATAAATGATGATTAATTAATTTATTAATTACTACATTAACAAGCAATGCAATATAAATGAAAGAGAGAAAATTACTGTAGGGGGAAGGATGGGGTAAAAAGACAAAGAGGGAGGAGAGAGAATGAATGAAAATATGTAGACCTGTAAGATTTAGAGATAAATATCATTTAGCGCAGAGCTGAAGCCTAGTAGTATATGGGCCAAACTGGCCTATTAGATATGTTTTGGTAGCTCTGTATGGTATTAAAAACTTATTTGTTTTTCAGCCACCTCTCAAAAAAAGAAAAAAATCCAAGAGATTTCACATTAAAATCATCAACACAACAATAACAAAAACTCCCCTTAACAGATAACTGTTTTTTTACCCCAAACACTGGAAAATGAAGTCACACTGGGTCCCCACATTCTCATGTGGAAACATCATCTAGGGCTGAGCTCCTAAGTGGGATGTGTCCATCCTCATGTTCACCACAGACCCTCTGGTCACCTCACGTAAGCATTTGCCCTCAAACCTGAACAACCTCCCTCATGCCATCACTTCCCTGAGCCCTGTCAGCATTTGAGTTTTTACCTGATCTCTCCAACTTCCTCTCCTTATATGTAAAGAACTGGTATCCAGAGGTAAAACGACCCAGTTGTAACACACGAAAACTTCCTAGTTCAACGCCCCCTCTACTATTATACTAATCGCCAGAAGAAAGGGGGTAGGAAGTAAGGGTCAAAGAAACAAACCCTGAAGAGTAATGCTGATAAGATAGTTCCTATTTTCCACTTCTGCTGAGCCTTGAGCATTATTCCCATGGATAAAAGTCAACCTCACACAGCCACAGTGCTTCACTGGGCATTTATACCTCTCCCAGCAGTTATTTATCATTCCAGTCTTGTTCTCACTGCCTCTCTGCAGAACGCTCAAGAACAGGACGCTTTCATTTAGTCATCCAGGATTATTCCCATGAGGCTCAAAGCTTCCCACTAAAATGCATTCCCTTCCAGGGAGTGTCTCCCCACCTCAGTTTCTACCACTGATATTTTAGTCATAAGTCTGAGTTGAAAATAAAGACACTTTCTCGAAAATTTAAGTTACATGATGACATATTAACATTTCTTAATCAAATGTCTTTTTAATCAATTTCGCTAGAAATTAAAATGTATTTTCTCTTCTCTAGTTCATTTCTTATTTAAAAGAAACTATTGATTTAAGCCCAAGAATTTATAGATTAGCAAAAGAAAAATTTAACCAACACAGGATTATAAAATCTTTGAATCAAATTTAAATCAATTACTACCCAAAGAGTTCTGAATGACAGTAAACAAATTATTTAACTTCTATGTGAAAGCTTTATAGCTCTGACATGAACATTTTTATTGCCATAGTTAACAGAAGTTTTGTAAATTAGTGTCTATAGAGAGAAAAATCGTCAAAGCCAGAAACATTTCAGGAGAAGCAAAAGATAGTAGCTGCCAGCACTCAGACAATGATTTTTATATAAAGTTTTAATCCTAAAACTAAGCTCTTATCAGTAATTGATTTAAACCACGAGTCTCAAGAACTGGTATAAATCTTGACATCTAAAATGGATATTAAAATCTTTTCCTAAAAGATTCTAAATACTTGGGAGAATTCTTTGCCACAATTAGCTGTTGCCATTTCATTCAATCAACTAGTATTTTATTTATAGAACGCCTACCACAGGCAAGGAGGCCCTGTGGGGCACATGCAAATGAAGTAGACAAATCCCTAGAATCTAGTAGGGGGAACAGAACATGCATACGGTGACAAGGCAGTAAGCAGTAATTGCGATAAATACAGTGGTGCAATGTGCTATCACAGTTCATTTGTGCATTTGTGTATTCATTCACAGAACATACACTGGGTGCTTGCTCTGCTAGGAATAATCCTAGAAGCAGATAGAGACATAAGCCCTACTCCCAGTGAGTTTACGGTCCCAAAGAGGAGAAAAACAATGATCACGTAATCACACAAACACAAAGGAGAGATCCATGGTTCTGAGGGAGCGCAGAAGGGGATTTGACCTGGTCAAGCCGAAGCAGTTGATGAAGTAGGCTCTGATCTGAACTATTACTAAGAGTTGCTGGGCAGAGAGATTGAAAGGCGTGTGCAAAGGTGCTTTGAGGGCTGGGTGCATGGGAAGTACTTATGACTGAAAGTAAAACCAGCTGGCCCAGAGCAGAAACAGGGAAAGCCATGTAGATGAGGATGGGACAGGCAGGGCCCATACCACCAGGAGATCTGTGGGCTATGGTAAGGATTTGGCTTTTATATTGAGAGCAATGAGAAGACATAGTGGGGTTAAGCAGGGCACAGGGAGGACAGATTTGGTTTTGAAAAAAACAAAAAACACTGCTTACTGGGTTAAAAACAGATATAGCAGCAAGAAGAGACAAGAGTGGATGTGTATAGGCTACCTCCAGGAAACACATGATGCTAGTTTAGATTAGAGTTGCTGAAGTAATCAAGTTCATAGATTTGAAATATTTAGGCAATGAGATAGCCAAGCACTGGTGATGACTCTGCTGTGAGAAGAGAGCAAGCAAAGGAGAAGTGTCTGTCAGAGATGACTCCTAGGCGGCTGGACTGGATGGAAGGTGGTGCTAGTTATCAAGAGAGGGAACACTGGAAAAGGGCCAGGTGTGGGGGGGGGAGATCACAAGAATGATATTGGATATGTCGAGCTTGAGATGCCCTTAAAAATGTAGAAAGAAATGCCAGGAAGCAACCAGATAGATGGGTCTGGAGGTGAGAGGTGAAACCGAAGCTGGGGGCTTGTATTTGTGGGTTCCAATTGACACAGAGGAAGGCCATACAAAATGAGAAAAGGAAAAGGCCTGGGGTCGAGCCTTGAGGGCTCTAATATTTAATGGCTGAATAAAGAGCTATGAGAGAGACAGAGAAAGAACTACCCCAGAGGCAGGAGGAAAACCAAGTAAGTAGGGCACCATGGAAGCCCTCGCTAGGCAGTGTTTTAGGATATGACAATGGTCAGTGTCACATGCTGTTGAAAGGTGAAGTAAGATGATAACCGAAAACATCCACTGGATCTAGTGACACTGGCAAGAGCATATGATGGCGGCTCAAACCAGACTGAAATGAACTGAGTGTGAGAGGGAGGTGAGGACACAAACTCACCTCATCAGCTCTGGCTCAGTGGGGTAGAGGAGATAGTGTAGGGGAAACAGAAATGAGAGTCTGAGTGAGGGCTGTTTTTTGTTTTTGTTTTTCATGAAAGAAAACGAAGAGCATTTAAAAGCCAACTGAAAGGCTATGAGGAGCAGGGACAGGGAAGGAGGGAGGATGATTAACAAAAGGATCCTCAGGAGGGAGACTGGGGTCAGTTCCAAGGAAACTGGAGGGACTGGGCTACAAGGAAAGGAAGGTAACACAAGGGAAGAAGGACAAGGTGGAAGTAGATGCTTGGTATCTAGAACAGAGAGCCCTATGAATGGCTGTTCTCTCTACACAGTGGATGGTGAGGCCACTGGCTGAAAAGAGTAGAAAAGATCTGAAATGGTCAGTGTGGAAAGATGAAAAGCAGAGTAAGTGAAAACAGGCCATGTCCAGGGCCATCTGAGGTGGGTAGTCAGCAGTCTATGGGGGGCTCTGAGGTAACTTTTCTGCCACCTGAAGGAGTATACTGTCAGGTTGGTTCATGTCCGATCAAGCTTTTGCCAGACTCTTTTACATGGAATGCTGGATTTTTGCTTTGAGTAATGAAAACTGAACAAGAAAGCAGACAAGTAAATCTACTTTCAACAGATGAGTCTAAGACTAGAATGAGTATACTAAGGTTTCAAATAAATTTTATTAATCAAACTTAATCTCCTAAGTACATGACTAAGCTCTATCCTTTAAACTCAACGCTTATTTCTTTCAAAGTAATTTCAGGAAATTTCACCCAAGCTGATTCCTTAACATTATTTTATACCTACACAATAAGCAAAACTAAAAAATAAAATGGCCTGAATGTAAATCTTACACAATATATATAAATGAAGTTCTCTTTTTTGTGAATACAGGCTAAGTCTATTACAAAAATATCTCAATATTGGAAAATGCAAAAAATAAAAAAGTATAAGTCATAATTTTGGATGGCAAAGAACAAACAACATCCGAACATGAGAGCTTTTTTCCTACCATATTCATGACACTTCTTTTTTCTAGTAGTATTCGAAATAAATTAGCTGTAATCTTGTTATCATGGACACCTTGCTCAAGGCCACGATTATCATCTTGCATGAGTCTTCGATCCATGATGACTTCAATCTGACCTACCAAACAAACAAACAGGCCAGGGTTATTCATTGAGAACCTCATAATACAAGGCAGGGTCTCGATTGAAGTTTTTCCTCCAGTCAGGGAGACAGACCTATACAACCCACAGTACCATGGGCTTCCTCTCGATAATAACTCAAAGCAGCTAGTATAAACTCATAAAGCAAGATTGTATTTCTCCTTTTCTTTATCAGCTTCTAGTAAAATCTAATAAGAAATTTAAAAATGGGACAGAAGAGATCAAAATTAAAGTGAAACTTACAAAAAATGAATAGAACCAGTAAATTAAATCCTCCAAAAATTTAGTGGCTTCATTTGGAATTTAAAAATGTTTATGAGGTTCATTAAAAAATGTACATCACGCATGGAGTAATAAGACAAACACAGAAGGACAGAATCTAAAAAGGATTTGAAGTAAAATTTTAGGTTACTTGATATGCTGTGATTCTCTGAAGCCCTAGAATTTGGAGACACCCACCACGTACCCCCTTCCCTCTCTGATACTGTGTTAGTTTGTCTTTTCTCCTATGGCCCCAAAAGTTGTCATATTTGGTTCCTTTATTTGCTATGCAATAATTCTACAACTCCTTTAGTTTAAATTGTAAGCTAATCGTTAGGTTATAAAATTACAAACTAAAAAAAAAACTGAAAAGAAATCACCCAGAGACATATTTATATGCTTGAGATTATACTCCCCCAAAACCCACTAAAGTTATATGTGTTTAAACATATATATTCATCCATCCATTCATTCATATTTGCTACTGTATTGAGCAATCATTTGGCATAAAAGGGAACTACGTAAAGGATTTTAATAACTATTATGCTTACATAGTCAAACCAACTCTGTTTAGTTTCTATCTTCTCAGTTTAGGTATCCAGTACATAAAATTAACAGTGCTGGTTAGAATTTTCATTGTTGTTTTCTCCATATTTCATAAGACAATTGTCCAGAACATGCTCTTCAGGCACTGGGGCTAACTGTCCCCATGCCTATGTAGAATTTGATCTCTTCACACTCAAATTAGTATATCAATCTCTTTGTCAGTTCTAACTCTTCTCTCTGCCTCCAAATGTTAGCCCATATACTATGTGACACTGAGTAACTTCCTGGCCTGTACTCAAATTGTTTTTATGTCCATAGCTCTCTTGATCAGGGAAGTGAGATAATACTGTTTGGTTCATGACCACTTGAATCCTAAGGTCTAGTCCCCTATTTAAGTAGAGCCCAGTTTTGAGAATTTAAGGCAGAGTTTAAAAATGAGGCTTTATGTTCTGATTTTTAAAAAATTATGTCACAAGTTACAGAATGGGCAACTTCTTATAAAATTCCAAACTTCTGGGCTTTTCTTCAAAAACTGAAAAATTTGGCAACACTGGGCCCCTTTCTCCATGGTGACAAGTAGCTGACACAAAGCAGTGGTCACCCCAGTGTACAGGGGGGATGTGCTCCGCAATTCACTCAAATCCCAGCACTCCCCACTGGAGCCCCAACATGATGCCATTATTATTTTTATAACTGTATTCATGTCTTCATGACATGATCTCATGATTTTGTTTAATGAAGGCCACAAAGAAAAATGATAAGTAGTAAGGTTTTCTGTGTGTGGAAGTACAGAATGCATGTATATACATAATACAAATAATGGGTTTGTATGCATATGCCCAATATAAAATGAATATGCCAGGCATCTGTACACATTTATTATCTGCCTGGCTCCATAACATGCTTGTCTTAGCACCTCTTAGTATGTAAGGAAAGAAGAGCAATTGACACGTATATGATAATTAAAAATATGTATTATGAGGGAGAAAGTCTCCCAATAGAAAGTTCTAAAAAAAATCAATCAGCGTCTACTATCTATTTTCTCTTTCACTCCATTTCATTCTCTCTTTTGGAATCTGTAAAGTCATGTCTGTCACCTCTTTATCCCCATATCTGTATCATCTCTACTCCCTTTCCTCTTTTCAGCTGGTAGTGTCCTAGAAGGATGGGATTCAGAGAAGGACCTAAGTTTGAACTGTAACTTTCCACCTTTGCAAACCTGGTTAAGTTATCTGAACTCTATCTAAACTTAGTTTAATTTGAGTCTGAATTTCCATTCCCAATCAGTCACAATAATGACAGACTTCTGCAAACAATGAGCCATCAGGAGAAGTAAATTATCTTTAAAAATAATCAGTTTCATGGACTTTTAGGTCCCTCTTTTTTCATCTGAAGATGAAGGAAATTTATTATTTTACATTGGTCTCACAAAGCTCAAAATTAACGGTCTGGTTCTCAAAAGAGGAAAGCCTGTGACTGGGGATGATAATTAATACATATTACCAGCAGAAAGATTATACACTGGGGAGTGAAACTTATAAGAGCAAAAAAGAATCTAAACAACACACCACTTTTCAAACTCGAAACACCTAAAGATTGAGCAGAGAGTAGGGTCAAGCGATACTCAGCATCCTGGACATATGCCATTGTAGTCATCGGATAAACGTTCGCCTGGAGAGGCAATTTGCTCAGTGTCATTCTAGGTTGAATCTGTAAGACCAAACAGTTCTCGTTAAGGAAAAAAAAAAATCAAGTGATATTTACACATGTACTTAAAAAAATTACTATCCACTACAGATGGTTTTCCTTCCAAACAGAAAAAGGTACAGCACCTTTCTTGTCCAATAGAACAGCTAACTTAGAAATGAAAACATTCTTCAAAACAATATGAAGAAAAATCATGAGCATCTTAGAAAACAATTTTTAAGTGAGAAAGGTAGAACTTGTCCAGATTTTTAAAATAGGCATTACTATTTAAATTCAGAATAAAAATCCTTAACAAGTTTTCTAGCTCTCCAATATTTGCATAAAACAAATTATAAAGGTATTAAGGATTCACTTCTCATTTACATCTAACATACTGCTTTTATAATGAAGGCTAAGCATAATAGCTCTCTATCCCCTTTCAATAAATATCTCTTATGATTCTTGAATCAGTTTTAATAAATACCACACATCTCCTCACCAAATCCTCTAACATACTATGTTATAATAATCAAATGCATATTTATATTTAAAAACTATTCAAGGCTTACTCTTCTTGTTTAGTTTCAATGTAGATAGTTCCAAATTCCAATTTTTCTTGGTCTAGTATCTGAATGCATGAAATACAACTCTAATTTTATATTTTGAGAGACTGACAATGCACTAAGCTGATCTGGGTCAAGGAGACTCACTCAAACCTCAGGAGGAGACATCAAACAGAGACTTTGTTATCAGAAATCTTATACCACATAAAAATGCCATCTCTTCTTTTAAACTCATGAAAGTTCGACATGAAACTCAGAAAAGGAGAAGTTCAACATAAACATAATAGTTAACATGTACTGAGTAACCATTAATGCCAGGCACAGTATTGAGAATTTCACAGATAAGATCTTTAATCTTCACAACAACCCTGCAGTAGGTCATTCAACTTACTGGTTCTGAATAGTGTCCCCCCAAATTCATGTTCGCCCAGAACCTGTGAATGTGATTTTACTTTGAAATATGGTCTCTGCAGATAAAATCAAGTTATAATGGATTAGCGTGAGCGATAATCTAAAGAATGGTGTCGGTGCTTTGTGACCGCCTGGAGGGGTGGGATAGGGAGGGTGGGAGGGAGGGAGACGCAAGAGGGAAGAGATATAGGAACATATGTATATGTATAACTGATTCACTTTGTTATAAAGCAGAAACTAACACACCATTGTAAAGCAATTATACTCCAATAAAGATGTAAAAAAAAAAAACAAAAAACAAACTAGATGTTTGGGACTTCCCTGGTGGCGCACTGGTTAAGAATCAGCCTGCCAATGCAGGAGACACGGGTTCAGTCCCTGGTCCGGGAAGATCCCACATGCCACAGAGCAACTAAGCCCGTGCGCCATAACTACTGAAGCCCGTGCGCCCGCACGCCCAGAGCCTGTGCTCCGCAACAAGAGAAGCCACCGCAATGAGAAGCCCGCACGCTGCAACGAAGAGTAGCCCCTGCTCAACGCAACTAGATAAAGCCCGTGCACAGCAATGAAGACCCAACACAGCCAAAAATAAATTAAAAAATAAGATTAAAAAAAAAAAAAGAATGGTGTCCGTACAAGAAATGGGGAACTTGGACACAGAGAGAGACATTCAGAGGCACAAAGAGACCATGTGACAGCACAGGCAGAGATTGGAGTGATATGTCTACAAGGCAAGGTGTACCAACGATTGTCTTGCAACCACCAGAAGCTAGAAAATGCAAGGTTACACTTCCCTAGAGCCGATGGAGGGAGTGGGGCCCTGCCTACATCTTGATTCTGGACTCCTAATGCCCAAAACTGTGAGAGAATAAATTTTTGTTGTTTTAAGCCACCCAGTTTGTGGCAGTTTATATCACAGCCCTAGGACATTAACAAACTGGTGGAAAAAACAACTGTAAAATGTTAAAAAAAAAAGGAAGGAAGGAAGGGAAGCTAATTAGAAAGAAATCTCCAATCCTGATCTTCCTACTCCATTTAGTTGTATACTTTAAAAAAAGACATTTAAAACTGTCACAATTGTGTAGCTGTTACCCTCATTCCCCACCTGTGGGTCTAGACTTCTAGTTTGGCCCAAGTAACTACTCTTTTCAAAGCTTAAGAAATGGCCTATTCTAAAAAAGAGGAAACACTTAGGCTATAGACTTAAAAATAATATTTTCCTATTTATTAAAATGGTCGAAACTTGTAAAGAAAATTCACATTTTTATTCATTTTTACTAAGTTTTTTCATTCATGTATACACCCACACATACATATTACTGCTTCTGTAAGACTTTAAGAAAAGCCTTTCTTTTGTACACAAGGAAAATGAATCACCATAAAGCCAGGGCTTCATTTGAAAATCAAACAGCTGTAGAAGAATTAACATGTTAATTCAAAATGTATGCTGCAATTTTTATGCTCTGAAAAGGTTTAAATTTAACTTTTGCAGGAAATTGTAGAAGAGAAAATTATCACAATCCCTTCCACTCATCCCAGTTGAAAATCAAAGTAACAGCATTTGTGAAATTATTTCTATTCGTAGCCAGAAATTTCTAAAATGCTAATGCCTCAAACACATGCTCATGGGGCTTCCCTGGTGGCGCAGTGGTTGAGAGTCCGCCTGCCAATGCAGGGGACACGGGTTCGTGCCCCGGTCTGGGAAGATCCCACATGCCATGGAGCGGCTGGGCCCATGAGCCATGGCCGCTGAGTCTGCGTGTCTGGAGCCTGTGCTCCACAACGGGAGAGGCCACAGCAGTGAGAGGCCCGCGTACCGCAAAACAAACAAACAAACAAACAAACAAAAACAAACATGCTCATGTTTCTAATAGTATTATTTCAAAGATATGTTGTTACACACATACACTCTGAATACAGAGATTTAGGTAACAGTCAAAAGAGCTCTAGTAAATTAGAGAAATGACAATCTTAAAAATTTTTATGAATCAATTTTCCCATTACTATTTCAAACTATTTCATGAAAATTTTGACTAAATACACACCTACTCACATTTCTAAACTGATGTTTTTATTTGTATATCTATGTCTATGTACACATATATGTGTGTGTATATATGTACACACACATATACATCAGTAGAGAGAAGAGTTTTCCTGAAATTTAAAAGAGCCCAGTATTAAATCATACATTTAAAAACATATGTGGAATAAACTAAATATACATAGACCAATTCCTTATGAGGAAAAAAAAAGATATACTCCATCAGTCCCTAATTAATATTTCCTTTCTATTATATAAATTCATATACATTTTAGCATCAAGGTATTTAACATGCGTAATGGTCACTAAATCTTCCTTTGAAAAAATAAATCCTTACAAATAGACATTTCACAAAGCAGTCTTGCAAATATATTTGTTCTAACCTTGAAAATATGGTTGAATACAGAACCTAAAAGTGTCTGTTAAAATTCAGTTTTATTTTAGAAATAATTTGCAACCTTAAGCATATTTTTTCAAAGATTCCAAAATTAACTGGCCCATCATCACATATAAAAGTTACATATTATAACCATTACTTAAACATTTTAAAGGGAAATTACCTGGTATCCATTTAGGTCAGTATAAAATCTATTTTGGTTGTTGATGCTAGAAGAAATTCTCATTGCAATCTCACGGTTATGTTCTTTTCGGATGTCCACAATATTGGAAATTTCCACAGACTGTCCTTCTATTCCTAAAGTTAAAAGAATATATATATTAATAAAAAATAATTGCTACCCGCTTTTCTTAAATATACTATACAGAACTCTTTCTAACGTTACAGGTATTTTCCTGTTTCCTACTTCCTATCTTTACTATCTCTCATATGCCAAATGGTGTCACAATTCACCTTTTTTTAAAATCAGACAATAGAAAACATTTATTCAGGGGCATATATAACTCAACAGAAGGATGAAAAGGCTAGAATGAGATAAATGTAGGTGAAATATAACATGCAAATGATTCTGCAATGAGTTCCAGAGGGGAAAGAGGACATTAAATGAGAAAAGGTCAGCCACACTACAGGCCAATCCACCACTCATGTGCACTGCCACTCCCCAACAGAGCCATTCAAGCCTACTTCTTCACCAGGCTCTCCTCACACACTGGAAATTATGAGCAGTGAAATTTACACCCTGGTGGTTCAAGAGACAGTGTATTACTACCCAGGATCTATAGCCAGGAAAAGAGACAAGAGGTCTAATGCAATGAGTTATGGCTAAAACTGGTATTACCATATTAGTATTTGTGAAGTATAATCTGGAGAGCTCCCCAGAACTTAAATCAATTTAAATTGAGTTTGGTGTCTCTTAGGATCCCCTGTTATGGAGTGATTCATTTTGCCCTTTGCTATATAAAGCAGAGGAGAGCCTGAAAAAGTCCCAGATGTATCGAACATTTTTGTTTTTTTGGATAAGCCTAAAGTATTTACTAATATCTATCTGTCATGCTACCCTAACTATATCTTCAGGTCCTCAGCGAACCCTTGGGTCTATTTCAGAGCTGGAGAGAGGAGTTATGAAGAAACCCAACACTCTTAATACAGATTGAGTGGATATAAAAGATACTGTAGGATCTTCTAAGAAAGAGAATGATTACGAAAGTGGTCAAAGAAGAAAGACTGGCCATATCCTATTTCATACAGCTGAAGTTTTTTGAAGTTCCAAGAACCCTGGACACTTAACCACCATTGTTATTCATGACCCACCTCTCCCCCTTCTCACACACAATCTGTCACTCTGCTGATAACCAGCGTACTCTTTAGAGAAAGAGGGCTGTGTACAGAAAAGCAGGGAGGGGAGAAAGAGAGTGAGGAAGACTTTTTCCAGGAGCCAAGAAGAATCCCCAGAGTTTAGACAGCAAATAGAAAGGAAGTTTGGATCTGTGGGATTTGTGGAAAAAATGTAAATGCAGCTGGCCCAGGCATTATAGGTTTATGTGAAAAGTACAACTGGAAATTGTACACCATAAATAATAATATGGTAACAATACTAAATGGGCTGCAGTTTCCATCAATATAATTTTCAGAATGCTCACAGAAATTCTCTTCTGGTAGATGTTGTCTTTCCAACTCAACAACCTCAACCAGAGCCAACTTCAGTTTCTTACTATGATGAGCATGATCTCCATGGGTGGGGGAAGGAAGTACCATTTTTTTTCCTGCTTTATAGCCACAGTCTGAACCATAACCTCTGCTAATTAAATGCATACATACATTTCCTTCTGAGAATTACAAGAACCTGCCAACATAGCTGATCCAAACTTCTTCACCACTATTGGGAAGTTTGGGGGGGAAAAGAAAAAAGCAAGCGCATATGCTGGTGATAGAACAATAGTGTGTTCTTTGAACTGGGAAATGCATTACTTTAAATGCAAACTTTCCTTCCAGTATACTTACATTATCCAGAATATTTTTCTAAAACCAAATGAATTGTATATAAAATTTTAAAAGACAAGCATTCACAAATGAACCAAAGATGCCCAAAACCCAACATGTAGCACTAGAGATGCTAGTATTAATGCAGCATTAGGGAAAACAGCAGATGGCAAGTGACTCTACTTTACTGAAAGCATTCATAGTGTTTTTAGTACTGCTTTATGTTTTCTCCTCTCTAGATGGACTATTATCTCAGGGGTCAACAAAATACATGAAATGAAATAAAGTCTTCACAAAGGAGACCATCATTAATTTCAAGGTATGTATCTCTGGAAAACATTTACAAAAAACATGCTTCGAGAAAAAATTAGTAATTTCACATTATCTCTAGCAATGATAAATTATTTCTATTGAGAAAATCATCTTTCTCAAGCTCAGTATTATGCTCAGATCCTGTTGGGGCAACAAACGCTTAAAGCTCCTTTAAAAGGAGCCTTCACGTCCATTCACAATTCAGCAAGACATTGATTTAAATTCTGTGCCAGGGCAGACTTAAAATAAGTTCAGACTTAATATACTTATTGTGAACAAACCAAATGAAACCTGTAATGGTAAAAAAAAGCAAGGAGGTATCCCTGAGTTCTCAAAGAAAATTAATTATTTTTAAAAGAAGAACATGTGTGAGGGAGAAAGAAGACTGCTGACTTTTCCTATTCTGTGTCAAGAATTCCTAAGATGTGTCAGTCCCAAAGAAGCTCATGGGACTGAGGGCAGAACTCCCCAGGAAGCAGGGGTACAAACCCAGTGGTCCCAGTGATATGCTGGATCTTTGCAGGATGTGGCAGCAAAAGATACTTTTACTAAAATGGTTCTACCTGAGCATAGATGGCCAGGGCTTTCTAAGTTCTTCTAGTTTTTCTTCAATCCTGGGAAAGAAAATAGCTCCTACTTAACAAGAGTAGTCCATGGGGGAGGGGGAGCAGGTGTGAGGCCATTCCCAGGTTTCAACAGAGAACTAAGTGCCCTTTTGCTAGCACCTCACACTCTGTGCCCTTGGAGAAGAGAAGATGGAGATTGTTTATCCTTACTAACACACAGGCAATGCAAAGTAAAATTTAGCCAGTTCACAGGTGAAAAGTTGTAACAGAGAAGCCAAACGAGTGTTTCAGAACCCTGGAGCTCTTCAATTTTTCCTCCCTAGAGCCTATGAGCTGCTCACAAACACAGACTGTCTTATACACTATCTCATATTTCAGTTTTTAACAATGTTTTGGGCACGTGGTCAGTGCTGAATCACTGTTAAACAGAATGAGTAAAGATGTGAGAGGCTGTCCCTCATGATGCAGAAGTTAACTGGTTGGGAGAAAGCAGATGGGCTATAGATAAGGTTCAAATAGATAAAAGATGAGTAAGTACTTTCATTTTGGGCAAACACATGCATGTTAGAAGGTCAGCTCCTCAGGTATAGGGACCATGTCTTATTTATCTTATGCTCCCAGCACATAATAGGTACACAAGAAGTGAGTGAAGGGTTCAGCTGCATGGGGGAATGACAACAGCCAACAAGTACCAAGTGCTTACTAGGTACCATACACTATAGGCTTTACATATAATCATTCCTGACCCTAAGCCTAGGAGGAAATTATCTGCCCCAGATCACAAGGCCTGGCAGAACCAGGACTAAACCTCTCAACCATCATGTCTCAATAGCAGACCAACTACTGGAAAATGTTGAAATTACTTTGGGACCAAGGATTGGGAAAAGCTTTGTAGGAATGGTTAAGTAGAGAGGAGAGCTCCAGACTATTTTCAAACAAGGAGAGAGGGCACTGATCTGGGATCTGATAAGCTGCAAGAGTTACTGAATTGAGTGAAATAAAATTAAGGGACAAGGCTTGCCAGAACCCAAAACTTCTTTAAAACAATCCAAAAATCTCTTTTAAAATGTCACAGTCACTTTAGAAGCCAATAAAGTAATATATATTAAATATTAAAGACACATACCCTAATTACCTCTCTTATCTACCTAAAATGAACACTAATCACGAGCACAAGCATGTTTACAGCGAGCGCACTGGTGCCAAGAGTAAAAAAAATGGGGAAACATGCTAGATGTCCATCAACAGGCAAATAAATAATAAAATCAGGTACACCCATGCTATGGAATGCTGTGTAGCAAATGAAAAGAAGGAGGCAACTCTCTGTCCTGGCAGAGAAAGATCTGATGGGAAAAGCAAACAGAGCGTTTGCACAGTACAATAAACGTTATGCTGAAACAGACACAAACATAATACTACACATTTCTGTAGGTGTGTGTGTGTGTGTGTGTGTGTGTGTGAGAGAGAGAGAGAGAGAGAGAAAGAGAGCGTGCAAATATCTGTATTACCTCTCTTGAGCAGTGGATAGGGGCCAGACACAGATTCCAGAGAGACTTTATGTTATATCCATAATGTGTGAAATTTTTGTCAAAAGAGTATGTGTGTAAATAGACACACACACATACATGTATATAATTTGCATTTTATACATAAAAATAATTTTAAGCATTTTTTAAAAAGAATATTTTCTAAGATGGCAGGGAAAAATGAAACTAAGGAGGCAAGGGATCAGGGTCGGAAGGCAAGACCCTCTTGACTCTGTTGCTCAGCACTGGTCTTAAGGAAACCAAGAAACATACTCCTTTGAGTATGGAGAGAAAAACTGGAGGGCGCCTCGAACACATGCCCTGTGCCTGAAAGAAGAGATGGCGCAAATATCCAGGATGGTCTAATGACTAAGTCATGCAGATGGAAAGGCTGGGGTCATGGCTCTGAGCAGCAACTGAGGGCCTCTGGAGAATCCTAGGTGTATCTCCTCTGCACAATCTACTCTCTTCATGCCAGATCATTCTAAAATCTATCTGGACCAGCCTAATTCAGCCCTCTCCACCTGCCTAGACCACCTTATTCTAACAATTCTGAAATGCAAGGCATACTTTTCCAAGGAATATAAATCGGACGCCTCTCTCACGACACTGAAGTAGTTATAGGAATAAGAGGCAGCAGCTTGGGGAAAAGAGCAGGAGAGCCCCTCTCTCACTCCAGCAAGAATCCAATATCTTATTAGTGGCACTCAATGTGTGCTTAGGACAAGTTATCAGATCAAGATGGAAAAACAGCAACTGGCCCACACCCACCTGGGAAAATGAAAAGTGAAGGTGACAGCCCTAAGAGAGGTGTTTAAGCCTTCAAACAAAAGTCTAACTGAAATGTGACATAGATAGGAAATCAAATATAAAATAAATCCTCAAAAAACCCACCCAGGATTTAAAGCAAGGT